GATAAACCTGTCTCACAGATACATGTACAGTGATAAAATTGTCTCGCAGATACATGTACATGTTGTCGTCTCTGATCAGTGTAAATCGTTCATAGCGAAGGGTGTCATGATGTAGATATAATAGTGCAAAGCAACGGTAGATGTCAAGTAGAGGAGTGTTACTGCAACTGTTATTTTTTATATGGCGGAAGATTGCTTGGAAACAAGGATCTGCTGTCGATTATAATGTCTTATACTATATTTACAGAAGTTATTCCCAGAAAAATAATGGTATTTTCCTAATAACGATATATTTGTGAAATACGACTGTTAGTTTGAAATGAAACGTAATTTGATGATAGTTATTTCTTTCTAATGAGCTACTGATTGCTGAGATAATGAATAAAGAAAATAATTGTCTATTAAGATAGTTAATATACCACAGTAAGAGGTGTCGGGTTTTCAAGAACAAAAACAAAAACAAAGAGCAGATTATATAAAGTCTCCATTTTTAAGGGACACATGATGACAAATTGACGCACTGACATTGTGCTCGTTAATTCTGTACAACACACATGTCACTTGGAGGTGTGATCCGGTGCCGGTTACACCCAGGAGTGGTGCAACAGTCCATATAGTCGATAGCGTCACCGTCACGTATCCTTGTCGGGCTCGGATTTCCTGTCTGTAGCTGCTCCTGAAGGGAACTGCATTCCTGAAAATGTCCGTCCAATCCGAAGTAATCAATACACAAGCACACAAAATGACTATTAAATGTATTGGTTATTTCCGAATAAACATGAGCGTCATGAGGGTATTGTTCAAGTTTGATCACACTGATTATACTCTTATAAAATCATATAATTGTGCGCGTGTCCCGATGAACAGCATGTTACTGTGATGTAGTAACCAATCCCGTGATGTAATGTTATCCAGTTTTACTTCTAGCAACGATGTAAATACTTTGTACTTCCACTTAACATAATGAAAACATATATGAAAACCACTCATTAATTGTTTCCTGATTACCAACATAAAAGGTTTTTTTCTTTTTTAAATCAAAAAATAGTTTTGTTTTTTAAATAACAATATTGCAAAGATATTTGTTGTGCAAACTTTGCAATATACAAACATGTTGTTGTTCATTTTTATAGAAACCTCAGAATTTTATTTGGAAACTTGCAATTTACAAAATGTATATGCAAGACCTGTGATGTATATTCTAAATCCCGTATATGCATACATAAATTATCTAATTTGTTTTATAAAATCTTGTATGTCATCCTTCATATATTGTGATAAGTGTTTATATTTTTGCATGCTGTTTCTATTATCAAATTGTAAGTGCAATCTCATGTGTGGGCCTAGGTTCATTTTTCTTACCACTTTGGATAATTTTGGTATTTTCTAATGCCTGAGGAAATTGTCAAGGAACATGTAGCACGGAACGTATATCGTACACTGACTGATACTCTTGTGCTGTGCATTGTGTGTACAATGGTATTTACCTTTCCCTCCAAATTCGTACCATTCATTAATACATGCTGATGTTCGGTTATGACAAATCTAAAAAGTCTTCAGTCAATGCAGTTACAAAGAATAAACATTTATGTGATCTTGCCGATCATGCATATATTGAACATGCATTGCAAGACTGGTAGAATATAGCACAATATCAACTAATTACGGAATTATTACAATACATGGATTAGAATACATATCACTCTTTTAATATAAAAACAAATCTTGAGAAATGTTTCAAATATGGATTATACGATTTTACAAACAATTAAACATGTTTTGAATATGAATTATTAACATACATATATATATATATATATAATAATGATTCTGAATGTAAGACACATGCTTTCAATATATAGTCGGGGACATGCTCTTGTTTTGCCAGATGGACGATATATAGTTTACTGTGTATTAACATAATGAATTTAGTATGATTTAATAGTTTGATTACAAATCTTGTCACAAACCTCTATTATTTTACATCCGAGATTGTAAAGGCACGGGTTCCCGTAGAAGTCTCCGATGAGCCGGTTAATGTAACATACCTGTTATAACATAGATTTTAAGAAGATAAAGGTCGTAAGATTAAATAGCATGCTGCAATTAAACTTTTCTACATAGTTAGTTTCTTACATTGAAAGACAAACATGTTGAGCTGAAACTTATTCTCATTATACGGTTCATCATGTGCTGGTAAAATATTTAGATAAAGATACCAACCTCGCCTTCTTTACAGGTGTAAGTCGTGTTGCATTTTAACTCGTCAGTCTCCAGAAAACAGTCATAACATGACAGGCGCTCAGCTGAAAAAGATGACCAAACATGCTTAAAGACGAGTTTATGAAATTATTAAACTTTGCAGATCATATTGCTTCCCCAACCAGCAACTATTGGATTCCTCACTCCCTGTTCGTGAGATTAACTTGCAAGGAGTTGGAAGACGATTGTGATTACCCACTAGAGATAATAACCTCTATTGTAACATCATGATTCATCATATGAAAAAACGGTTAACATGTAAAAACAAGTATGACGAAAATACATTAACATCACGTTGTCAGATATTACGTTATACACGTATTTGTTGTCCGCCCTTTGTCATTGTCTCCACAAAATTCAATTTCATTGATATGACTTACTATTATAAACATCTTGATATAGTAAAACTGTTCTATATTATTCGAAGGTATGGTTGTAACAGGAACATACCTGCTCCAATGTTCTCTACTAGAATTTGGTATATCTCGAGTTACTTTGTGTTCTTATCAATCACTACATATCATTTCAAGACAATACGAAGCATTTTTTTATTTTTTTTTAAAGACAGCTTCATAGAAGAAAAGATCAATCATGTCACTCAAAGCACGCCAATTACTCTTGCAGGCCTCAATCAATTAAGCCGATATGAAGCTCATAGACAGCACTTACTTTAGCTATACTATTTAGAGGAACTAATCCCGAATACTACTTGGAACATTATCTGCAAATAAATGCTTTTGTATGTAGGAGATGAGCTATATAGCTACATGCGTCGTCCCTTTATGTAAGGAAGACAATTTCATAACACCCCAAATAAAGCCGGCATTGTCAATGTTTAGACGATTAACAAATGCTTACACTTTCAGACAGGTTATCCTATTCATTATCAATCTTTACAAATTTAATCTTTGCACACGAGCAACACTTAAGGTATCGATGCAAATGTAGATTTTGAAGATTAGTTAACACGTTTAAATTATGTGCTACCTAGAAAACTCTTCCTGATAACAAAGTACAGAACATGAATCCTTAGCATTTGAACGTTCAACATTGACATGTGCTAGACATATGCTTACCTGTCACAAAACCAACGAAGCAACCTACAGAAAAAAGACAATACATTTTTGGATGCTATTTTGAAATACTACAGGCAAAATACTAGATGTGTGTTCGTACAATGTATTTGAGAAAAGAACGTTCTACGTTTGTGAATTATATTATTTATAGCAACAAATTCTAACACAGATGTTTAACAGACTTGATTCAGACAAATCTATACTTTTGGAGAACTGCCGAAGTGACAATTTGTACTCCAGAAAAAACAGAAGATGTGACATTTTGTGGTGAATTTCCTTTGTCTTACTCTTTAATAAATCTTTTAAATCTTTTTTAATTATTTCATATACATCTAAACGTATTTGTTGAGATATTATATGCATACTACGAATATATTGGAGTTATCATGACACCAATTGTAATATTAAAAACTCACAAGAAAGAAGAACAGCAACAGTCCAGGGCGACATATTGGAATATACAGCCGATCTCTGCTACCAGATTTAAGGGGTACGTTCCACAACTCAATCGTCAGCAGTTTTAATATTTCAAATTCATATTGTGAATTACTAACATGCATTATTTGCATTTACGAATACGGTTATAAAATGATTTTTGAAATAACCTTAATTTACCATATTATGATTGGTGATATCGTCTTAAGTTTAAAATTAATATATATAGAATGTGTGCCTTTAATGACAGCATTGAAACTGGTTATTGAATGAGATAAGAATACAAACACGAGTTATTTAGGACACTGTCTATAGATATGTAAATTCCGTACAATACACCCACGAATTGCCTATAAAGGACCGTCCAGCAAGCTGTGTCCTTCACAAGATCAACAGTCAGAGGTCATTACATGACTACCGTAAGCTTATCATTGATCGATTATAGTGCCTCTGGAAAATATCCCAATTTTTATTTGAATTTCTATTTGAATTTCAATTTATTCTTTTCATGTTTCAATTAAGATTGTTTATCATTGTATTTACAAATGTCCCGTAAATAGTTAATGCTAGACGATATCTTATTTCTTTACGTGTGTAAGTTCTATCATTTATTGATTTTTTTACGTATTTATGCTAAGTGTATTAATTTCGTCAGTCTTCAATTTAATTGTAATACTTGCTACCGATAATATATATATATATCATGATGGTTATGTGGTTTTAAAAGGGTGTGTATAGGTCTAGCAGCAATAATTGCAACATTAAAAACGTAGACGTAGATGCAACAACAAAAACGACACTTAGCTTTACTGTCTTATTGCATTTTAAAGTAATTGGAAGCTGGTGTTCTATAGAAATAAAATCCAGTATTGGATATAACAACAACAGCTACACTGTACTACTTTTAATTTAGTCATACCGTTTTCAAACTATTAAAGTTTTTACAACTTGGTCGAGCAAGATTACGATGATCGAAGATAAATCTATTTTAAGTTATCAATATGTTTAGGCATATTTGCCCAGTCTAAATAAAATGTAGTCGTAACTGCTGACAAAGTTTATTCCAAAGATATATTTGTGAATTTTATCATTTAGACTCGATTGGTTTGACAAAAGTTAGAACATTTTGGATAGTGACCCAACCTGGTGTACCAAAGCATGACTCTGACGCAAAGTTTCCTTCAATATATTGGATTTTATTTTAACAATAGATATAATCTACTTATAAAACGTTTTCACACCATCGGCAATTTTAAGTGCAGTAGAATAATGACTTAAAATCAATAGGGATAAAAACTCAGCGCCGAACACGATTTTAAACAAAAATGTCAAGAATTTCTGGAGATTTGAGTTCGCATCATTGTTAAAACTAAAGTCTGTTAAAACTATCATTCCTCATGCATTACCGTAATAGTGCCTCAAAGACTAACAGATTACGAGAAATAACATTGATGATATGACGACAAAAGCAGTTTCTTTTTAAGGGGTAGGGGTTTGCTGTTTTTGTTGTTGTTTCTGTGGGTTTTATTCTTATATAGCTAGGCTTACAGATTGTTAAATACAATTTGTCATACAGATATATTTATGACGATTATAAAAACAAGCATTTTGATATTGAGGTGCTATTTGTTTTCATTAATTTTTAGATTTTAGAAACCACACAATCCTATTCTTAAGCGTCCCATTCTGACATTTACATCGTCACATCATCATCAGCGTATACATCATCAGCTCACTTCCAACTTCTATGACAAAAGTAACCTCTTTAATTTTAACATTGACAACTTATATATTTTCAGTAAGGACATTGTGCAGCCCCTCCCCTTGCTTATAGAACTGATTTTCTAGACTGATGCACCAAGTAATCAACTTGATTATTGTTCAATCACTGACAGGCATCATCAAGAGCTATGTTAGCATCATTTCTAGGATCCAGAAACTCCTTTCCATCCATATTAGTATAGTTTTGACATTTGAGTATGGCTTCATTTGGAACCTGAAAAGAACGTCAGTATAGATCATATGATACATGTTAAATGTGGAAACGCAATTCAAACATTCAAGTTTAATATAAAATATATAAAGTAGTGTTTAATAGATACAATGTATTTGAAACACTTTAGATTTCATTTCAACAAATTTTTACTTTTTGATGTTATAAAAATAGAATCGAACAACAGGCTACGCCTATATCAGTTCTGTATGTAACAGTATATATATATATATATATATATATATATTATAATTTATAGTGAAATGAAAAATTGAAACAAGATACAACTTATATACAAAACCTATGTCAAGGTAAGAACGTAGGGATGACGACCAAGAAATTATAGTTCGACATTTAGAACGGAAATGATGATATCGTAACAGCAGCTTGGTAATTAAATGTCAATATTTGAAAACACATACTACATTCAGTCAGAAAACACAAACTACATTCAGTCAGAAAACAGTTGAATTTATGTCCTTCATAGACTCCGGTTTCATTAATTGTTGCCATTCTTCCAAAGTATTTAAAATGCTGAATAGGTCATTTTATTGTCTCACAAATTAATCAATGACATCATGTTGTCCCATTTAATTAACGTATTGCTGTTCTGCATTTTAGAGTCTACACATTTATTACTGAAGGTACGTATACTGTTGCTTTATAATCATTGCATTGGCGTAAAGTAGAGATTTAAATATAAAGTCATATGTTATGTTACATCTGGAGACGGATAACTTGAAGACCAGAAGCAGACCAGTTATATATTTGAGACATATTTATTTCCTTTTTACAGTAGATGTGCAAGAATCTTTCGTTGAACAGAGTTTGTATATGACAATATTTTATGAATAAAAAGGAAAATTGAAGTATGAATTTGTGTGTTGGTTATAAGAATAGTGTAAGAAATCATAATTATATTAATTTAATTAGCTATAATTGACCTAGATGTCAGAGTTGGGTAATATTGTCACTTTAGATAATTATATTGGAATTGAGTTAAGCGAGTTTTCCCTAAGAGTAGTTGTTAGTGTGTATACTTTTACTAATTTCCGTAGTTTTCCAAATGGATGGTCAAGCACTGCTTCGTTGTCAACCCGATTATAGGACACGAGGATTGACCAGCGTCTCTGGTCACTGTCGTTACCAGCACTTGTGTGCAGGAGGTTCGAGTGAAAGAAGAGAGCATCACCTATACAAGAAAATTTTAGATAATATTTGAATAAAGAAACAAGTTTATTTCTTATATCACAGCAATGGGCACCAATAACAAGTTATCATGTAACTATATACTTTCGTTGACAATATCAATTTTCATCATTTAATATTAAATTCCAATAATTTATACATCATGTTCAATGACTGTTTTATGACTAACCAGGTTCCATTTCGACATAGACTGGAGGGCATTTCTGTTGGATAGCATGTACTCTCTCCAGATCCGCACCAGTCTGCCCAGCTATCAGAAGATGGTCAATCCGACCGCATTTGTGGGAGCCGGGCAGTATCTTAAAGCAAGTTTGAATACAAACTCTAATGTTAAAGAAACCAGAACAGATTGTTCTTTGAAAGGAAAAGAAATCAGATCGGCTAAAAGAACTAATTTGTTCTCTTAACAAGGGGATATCAATTAATAGTATTTAAGGATAACATACATTTTAAGATTCGCAATAAGGAAAATATAACACAATACCTGTAAACAACCGTTTTCTTTTGTTGCTCTATCGTATGCTACAAAAACTGTTATCAAATCAGGAAATAAACACCCATTGTTGTACCAGTATCTACAAAGAGCATTTAATACGTAGTCAATATTCCGCTAACATAACGCAGAAAAAACATCAAAATTCAATTTGTCCATAAGCTATTTGATAAAACTATATACTATACCAAATATGCAGGGTTTGTTAATATGTCAATATATTTAATCAGTATTTTGAAACAACAAAACATACAATTGTAATAAACAGATAACGGATTCCAATCATTGTCAATACCAATTAAGAAAAATCCATCAAAAATGAGGTTAGCCATCAAATGACGACATTGCAAATTCGTTTATGAGTGGAACTTAATATTAACGGAATGGAAATTTATGTTTGAAAATGCCCAAATCATATGTAGGAGTGAAGCAAAATGATAAAAGTCCCAACCATGCCATCTATCTAATGTTATTAGTGCACAGCTATTTTTAACAACAGATATTTATTTCAAGTATTTCTCACTTTTGACACCTACCCATAATCCTGGTGCCAGAGATGCTTGCCGCCGGTCTTTGCCTCTTTCATCATAAGTTTAGATTCGAAATGATACAATTCATCACCGCCTAAAAGCTATACATTTGATATGGGATTTTATTAATGCGCAACAATTCACAATAATTCTTTTGATGATTTTTTGATAACTGCACATTTCAGATACAATATTATATATTGGTGGTGTCTAAATCTGAGAAGATTCATTAGAGTGTAAGTATGTTAATTTTATCTACAATTTGAACTATCGTTTAATTTATCTGTTAGGTTTTTAACGAATTAAAATATACTATCATCGATTGTATATATCAAGATGACATAAAAAGAAAAAAAAAGTCATAAATTACTTCCTGACACGTTCCTAACACCTTTTCACTTCTTGAAATGACGCCTGTGACGTCATCACCGGGGTAGCTCCATAGGGCCATTTGCGTTTTCTTGCCCTCTCCATCTGAAAACTAAACAGAGAAAGAGCTAGATAATTGTTCTTCGTCTGTTATACAAAAATATTGTCGTCTTCTCCATAGACATTAATCTGAATCAAAACTTGAAATAACCAAAACAGTCTTAGCTGATCGTAGGCTATATGTATTCAATAACGTGATGTTTTCTATTTAAAGTATATGCAGGTTACTTTTCGTTTTGTTATTGCAGAGATAGGCAACATAAAACTGAAATTTACATTCGTTTAAGATGACAAGTATTTGAAATAATACTTGGGACTGTCATTCTCTTATAGATGTTTAATTTACATACTGATTATATTATACAAAGAAATTCAACAAATGTTGGAAAGGGCGGTTGTACATTCTAGCAACGGGCATTTCCTTAGCAACAACCATGACCGTTTTACATAAGGAATCAACAAGGTAAGTCAAACCTACCCCATACCGGTGTTTTGTTATAGCGTCGCTTCCTTCTAGTGTAACCTGAAGCTGTTTCAATTCCGCATTATTGAGCAAGCCTCTAGTGTAATTAAAAATATAAAAACATGTATATCTTCAAATGGTATCTCTTTTTGTTTAAAAAGTAATTAAGAAAACGTGGGTTTTCTCCGGGTACTCCGGGTTCCTCCAATATTAAGACCCCAGCGCGCTAACATCCGGGCGAACAAGAGTGATTATATAAGTTGTGATAACTTGTTTCATAATTTTTGTAAAATAAATAAAGTTTATATAAGTGAATATATAGATATCTTTTTCAACGCAACAGTAAATTCTACAAACAAATAATAACAATAAAAATATTTCATTTCATATAATTAAATAAAAATATTAAAGTCTCAAGCAATAATACGATAAAATTAAGATCAATCTCAATACCCACTCGAGTTATTTGATATGATTACAATTTTCAGCTGTACGCATTATAATCATTTACAACTTTATCCTTTGATCAACAATGAGAGCACCAACCTAACGATCAGGTATCCATTCCTATGGTAAGCCGTTTTCATCTCTTTAGTCAACTTAAGATAATTTCCTTCCAGGCGGTACTCTAAATGATGAGTAAGGAAAGGCAGATACAAATAAAAATGTCTGTTGTATATCCGTCCGCATATATATTTAAATCAAAACTTTCATTTTCCTGTAGCGGTCTGTAAATATGTTAATGAGAAAAACAGACTAATAAAAAAAGGGAAGTATAGGCAAGATTTGAAGAAGAAAAATATATTCAAAAGTGGATAGACCTTGAGACTGAGCAGTTCTATAAGTAAGGATTATACACCTAGTAAGTAGACAGGCGTACAGTAACCTAGTCTGCTAATATGGTACTAATTTAAAGAGAACTTGACATCCAAAATGTGCCCATGTCAAACCAACTTGTCATGCTGTTTTCGGTAACACAATAACAGGAAAATGAGTTTAATGCGACACGAACCCTGACAGTGCCAATATCAACGTAGAATTATTAAAGGGGATATTTCAATCTTATCTCCACCAGATTATATGTGTTTGTCAGTAGTAGAAACAATGAGTATACCACCGTTTTTCGAGGAAAAAAGCGCACTCTCCAATGGGAGTTATCTACCTTAGTACGCACCTTATATTACTGGACTAACCTGTACATTATTTATTCACGGACTAGACTTGTATACCATAAAAATTTCATGGCAAAATTATCCAACACAACGAATATTAATACACAGCATACATTCTATATAAACTACACGTGACAGGCGAAGGTTAAAGTATATGCATTTGCATATATATACCTTAGGTATAAGTTATGCTTGTTGCAGTTACTGTATATATACATACCGCAATCAGCCATCCTTGCAGCATGCATACACCCCACTATGGATACAATGCTTTACTCATCACCGCCTACCGTAAATGTTACACGAATCATCTATATACCGTAACATTATAATGAACTACATATTACAATGTTGCATATAAACTGGTGTCTCATGTCTATTCTGATAACTACGGCAAAGTTAGCATGGTATCAGTAGTCCACTATCTGTAAGCAATACCGCCGTCATCCATAGATATCCAGATACTAATGTCGTATGTCTTTATATGTTTACTTTTAAGCACCACACACTTTTAAGCTAAGCACCACAACCCACATCATTGCAAATGTTGAGTATAAGGCAGTCTGATGGCATAATTTAAGCACTACCAGTTGTTTTTTTAGCTTAGCACCTAAGCCCATATCACAGCAAATGTGGTGTATACAAGTATTCCCTTGCCGTGATTTAAGCACCACTAGTTTTAAGCTAAGCACCACAGAACACATCACAGTGGTGTATTCAGGCAGTCGGATGGCATAATTTAATCACTATCAGTTTTTAAACTAAGCACCACAGCCCACATCACAAAACAAGTGGTGTTTACAGGCAGTCTGGTGACAATGCTCAATGTGATATTACACGATAGTGTGCTCTTTTTGTAACGATATTCTGCCGTGCAATTCATATTCGTACTTTCAATTTATAATTCTAGTGATGTTCGCATAGAAAATTTGTCCATATCGGCTAAAATGCAGATATTACTAAAATACAGTTCTGGCTAGCAATTGCGATGTGTACTTTCACAACCGGAAGCACGCTTGTTTATGCAGGAGTGCACAGGTTCACAATCCGCCCGTAACAAGGGCATTGACCTATCAAATGGTGACGTTTGCAGTATGAAAATATATACATGTAGATATATATCTTACGTATTAACGGCGCAAAGTATGCTTGTAACTTATTGTTCCTTATGCATACCACAATTAGTATTTTTGCTAGTATACATATTATCTGTAAATCATAGCTTTTATTCATAGCCATTCAGATATTGTACACTGTAATGATCTGTTTTCATATACATGTATACACCTTTTGAAGTTCTCAAAAAGAAAGAGATCTTGAAGAAATCTGTTCAGTTTTAAAGGGACATCACGCGAAGAGCCATATTTTTTTTTAATGAATGTATGTATTGTATGCACTTCCACTTATGTTACCTCGCTATCCCCATATTCATAGTCCGTTCCAAATGTCCAGTTTGACCACTTGAATTGTTCGGGAAAACCCTGCTAAAAATAGTACCGATAACGTCACCTGACTATGCAGTAAACGGTTTCCAAAGGGGCCCCAAGAGAGGGGCCGTCAAGCAACGGCAATTTCTTACCGCACTATGAAACCAAGTAATATGATTTCTAAGTCCGTTTTCAAACTTATTGAACAGTAATTATTCATCATTAGAAGTTAATTGCACACTTGCTAATATTCAGAATTTAAATTTATTTAGCTTTAAACATGTTTGTTGCCAATAAAATTGAACAAGGGATGGAGTACAAGTTTTTACAATTTATTACAACCTTCTCCCGTCATACATTTACAATTAAATGTCAACAATGATAATAGGCAAAAACGTTAAGTATATATATATATTGAATTTAGTATCGGAATGTGACCGGTACAGATGGTACGGGGCTAAACACCTTCCCTCAACCATGGGTCAAACCTTTCTGTAAAAAGAAATATTCACGAGACGAATATCCCTTTTTAAATGTTTTCATAAAGTGCATATATGCAATGACAAACTACACGCGTATAAAAAAGAAAAACGTTTGTGAGTTTTTGATTACATTGTACAACTCAATGTCTTTGGCCAATTTTTTTTCTTTGCCATGCATATAAACTGAAGTCGAAAATTAATTCTTTATAGAGAAAAGGTTTTCATATATGAAAACATGAACTGTTGAAAACTTACGATTTGAAAAAAAAGTTCTGTGACCCTATTTACCAGAAGTGTGTTCTCCTTCCTCAGTTATTCTTCCTGGTCCGTCATTTCGACATTTTAAATCTAGCTGCGATAACGTAGCTTTCTGACGAAGAGCGTTTTTTTTTTATATTGCGTAACCACGCCAGATATTATAAAAAATTATGTAAATCTAATAGCGCACGTATCTCGATCATTTGACCCCGAGTACCGACAGAGAGAACAGAGTACGCCGTGGCCATCACAACAGTTATCCCTTGGAGGGCCTCATGACAAAATCAAACTAACCTGTCACTTATCCCTTCCTTTCCCATAAACCACTGTATAATTATATAGAAACACAAAGTAAACTCTCTCCGATACATGGCCATTAACATATTAAACTAAGTTCATCTGTGTTCAAACTCAGACAAAGATACTAGCGATGTTAATAGTTTTAGATATTTATTCATAACGAGGGCATAAACATCAAATTGATGGAGCCCCCGTACGACAAAGAAGAAGAACATAAACAGCGCTAGCATTTCTGTGGATTCCATTTCAGCTTAACCGGCTATCCGGAAGAAAACATGCACCGTTGTAACTGCTATAGCAGTTATTTTCTCCTTTGAATACTTCCCACCTGCAATAATGATTCCGTAACGTGCTAATTGCGCTATCTTTTGACCATTTGGCAACTTTTCGCTTCGTAGCTGACACGGTACAACACTTTTCTTTCGCTTACTTCACAAAGCCAGTCATTTTGTTTACAAAGAAATAGTGTGCTATGCGCATGCGCTAGTAGAGGGAAATCCCTGAACAAAACGTTGGTCAGACAGGTAGTAATACCGATGATTATCTTAGATTCAATCATTTTTATGAATCTATTTCAGCCAAATCCGATCGTTATTTTCCATAAGGTGTCTCACTTGATATGTTTATGTAGTATTTGAAAAAAAGACATAAAAAGTTACTTTACCATGATGCCCCTTTAAGCGACACTAACATGCATGCGAATTCGCATTACTTTCCATCCATACGCTTTGATCTCCAAGCTTCAGACAACAGTGATTAATATAAGTTGATAAAACGTTTTTCATAATTATAGATTTAAACTAAAATATAATTAATAATATTTTCAGTCGTTACAGTCATAATCACATATCTTTTCTGTGTTTACTTATGTAAATCAAATTAACGAAATCGGTGTCTTGTTAGTTACAATTGCTTGGCTTCGCAATGTTAAACTTAAAATGCCACTTGATCTTCTTGCAGAGAATATAAACACATATCATTCAATCCTAAATAACTTCGGTTTGATCTATCGTTTGAGCTTTCAAATGGCATCATACAGCGTCATCCTGATTCTGAAGGTACCTTTAAGATAGATGTCTATTAAACAAGATGGTAGGATACTGAAATGAATATTAACGCAAACGTCAGGATTCTTTTGATATCTCGATAAAGATATCTTGTCGATAAACAACACCAACTCTGATATACCTGTAGCTGTATCATTTATTATTTTTATACTACAATCATAAGTATCGATTTTTTTTTAAATGAGCTAGATCGTGTCATTGTATAGTATCTCATTAGCGATGTTCACGACGCCAGTTTAGATTTAACAGTGATGTCGTCCTTCGGGTTAAGGAACACTTTTCCGGTCAAGTCCTCCTCATTTTCACATTCAGCTATAGCACTATCTGTCACCTACAATGTATTAACCACGGAATTCATTTATGGTAGATCTAGTAGTAGCCTTATATCCACAAGACAAACCATCATAAAATACATTTCATGTTACTTTACATGTGTAAATGTTATTTATTTTCAAGACAGATAATTGTTGAAACACAGTTTATGTTAACAGTAGATCCTGCATTTCATTCATCTTAAAATTACTGTAAAAAAAGGTTAAATATTATATAACTGTACAATGTGTAGGGTTCATGCAGATGTAGGAAAGACTAAAAAATGCATATCATAACGTATTTGTTAGATTCATTTATCTACCTTTTCAATGGGATTGTAGTGAGCAAATGGATGTTCCGCTACAGAATCATTATAGGCCGCTGAATATGCGATGGCATATGCCAGTCTTCTTTTTGAACTCATGTTGTTGCCACTGTTGTGAAGCAGATTGGAGTGGAAAAACACGGCATCACCTTGTAATGATGTTGAGAAAGTCTCAAATTTTGACTGGGCGTGTATTTTGGATGATTGTAAGAAATCTTGCAATTAATATAATAGCTTGATCAAACTTGTCTGATCTAGTCACCAAAACTGTATGCGAATTTATTACACAACACACTGCATGCCAAACATGTATCGACCACTGTATGAAAATGATGGTACACGATTCAATCAAAAATTGAAAATATTAAACATTTAAAATGGGTTCAAAGGCACTATCTCCTGACGCTGTATTTACTTATGCTGTGGGAACTTTATATATAATTTTTGACATACGGTACCAATGACGCGTTACAAATTCAAGTAACTGTCATATCATATTTGGCTTGTGACATATGCGTGTTGTCTTTATTCTGTTGTCAATTGCAAAATACAACATATACCTTGGTTCAGTACAACATATTCTAACTTAAGTTTATTCTTCAGTTTCGACACTCTTTCAGGATCTGCCATCTGTTCTCCTTCGTAAAATCCGTGAGATAACCGACCACACATGTGAGACCCACGTAACACCTTGGACAAAGAAATGAGACCATACATTTGTATGTGTTTACTACGTGACAAATACCGTATTGGGAAAATGTCTAATCTTTTTTTTTTAAGTTCAGAAATAGGAAAGTGTGATGAATATATTTTGAATCGCTTTAAGACCAATCGCCTAATATAATGAATAGTTACTTGAATTTGATACAAAAATCTAAATATTCATAAATAATGTCTATTTCGTGAAGAAAACTGTGGAAAGCAAAATATTCTGTACAGTAGTTGTTATGTGAAGACATTGAATATTGAATATTAAGTACACAAGGAAATCACAAACAAACACAATGTTCTACATGTATCATACAAACACGTGTAGTATCAGTGATGCACGCTATCAACAAGATTGCATCCTGATCATTGATTCTATCACTTTGGCTGTGACAGTGTTCGACTAGTGTGTTTTCGGCTACGTTCAACACACAAAAATACGACTACAATCTATAAATTACAGTTACGATCTAAAAGCAAATTACGGTTTCTATCTACAAATCATTCACAGTTACGATCTATACGCAAAGTACGGTTTCAATCTAAATAAATATAAAATTGCACAGTACCTGCAAACAGCCGTTTTCTTTTGTATTTTCATCGACTGCTATCGAAACCGTCATCATGTCAGGATACAGAAACCCTTGTTTGTACCAGTATCTGTGACGAAGAGGACGGTTATCATAGATTTGAACCACCTAGTCATACAGCCAAGACATTAGTTAAATCTGATTGGTAATCTTCCCAAATGATTTGGGGACTTTTGCTTTTGCAAGTGATATTTGCATAGAAATGTTGTGGTTGGAATCATTCGATTAAATATCATCAAGTAATAGGAAGCGATCGTACACCTAACTGTACTTGACATATTGTTTTTGAATAATTTCAAATTAGAATAATTGTATATAGAATAAATGTATTCCTTAGTGTGCTTGATTTCAAACCTAGTTTTGTGAATATTGACTTTTTGTTCTTTTTGCATTATTTCTATAATATTTATAACAGAAAAATATACAAAAACTGGTATACAATTGTACTAGTTAAATATTAATCCACTCAAGTATTATTCAAAGAGCAATAGACTTAGTGTACATTTAATAGCACCATTCAAATTATTACGCCTTCCTGACTATCTGTGCTATCATTAACCGTCTATGTCGATGTAAACGTGTGTATTTTACAGGACACAGCAAGTCTATTTGTCCTGTATCAGTGGTACTCACATGACCTTTGATATAAAGACGAGTAATACAGCGAGAAGTTTATACATTGACACAACCAGCATGTACTAGTACAGGTATATGTAAACTATATGAAATATATATTTCTCACACCTTTGCGTAAACAAGTGTGAAACACCTATATGGGATTATATAACTCTACCATGTGTATATTTGTAGGATACAAAATGTCCAATCCGAGGGTACAGAGTTCAGGACAACAAATAGAGGCGGTTATAACCAGAATTTTAATCAGAGGGTAGATTTGCCTATCCAACATACCTACATTTGATAAAGTGTATATTTTGTTAAGCATTGAGTTGTTACCAGATGCAGTATACAGTCGATAAGAATGCAATTCGGGTGACAGATAAATATAATGTCGCCCGTTAGAGCGATATGACGATTTATCTGGCACTTAACTTGCATTCATATCGATTGTATCCTGCATCTGGTAACAACTCAATGCTTATATTTACATTCATATAGTTGGTTTTGTATAGTAACTGAAGCGAAAATACGTTTAAATTTCCCGCTTATCATATCAGTGACTTACGTAAGTTTAAATTCCAGAACAGCCGAATTTTCAGAAGAAATAGTATAGTTCCTCGTGACATTGTAAACCACACGCATAGAAAATGGTTTGAACACAAACTTTACTTTATTATTTATTTCATATGAGTGTGAATATGTTGAAAAACTGTTAATAATTGCATAACTTCTGCTTGTTTAAAATTAAAGCTGTTTTCGCGCATTGGTAGATTACATGCATTAGGAAGTGTTTCCACGGAAACGCTTATGTTTCCATCGACTGGAATATTACGTTATTTTCAGAAGCATAAATACTCGGATTTTTTTAATTAAAGTGGTCCTTTCAGTAGGTCATAACGATTCCAACGATATTTCGTTTGAAACAGATTCCATGTCTAATCGGTCAGATTAGCATCGCTAGCAGACGACGTTCACGGGGGCTTGGTTTCGTGATTTTGAGTATTGGATGACATCACTGAAGAACCACAACACTTAAAAAGGGTATGATACCCTCGATTCTTAAACGGTTTTTTATAAATGCTGAATTTAGTGTTGTGGTTATTCACTAATGTTATGCATAACAACTCAAAATCTCGAAACCGAGCCCCTGTGTGATGACGTTGACAAACGTGGTAATTTCGTATCTAGAATGGCGCTTGCAACAATTTTGTGGTACCTGCACATCTTACAACAAATTTATATTGTCATAATTTGTCAAGTTGCTTTGTTGTTTGTGATGACCAACATTGCTTAATGTTAACGAACCCAGAAAGGTCTTTGACTTTGGTGGCTATCTTTGTTTACCTAGGACACATGGAGCTGTTTCCTACACTGACCGAATCACTGTAAATTGCAGTATACAGCCTCATATATTGGAATTTGGTTTATTAACGACATATAGGCAAATGCAACACCAAATGTAAATATATATTAATATAAAGACATCACGAAATGTACTAGTTCAAAAGTGATGAAATTGTGGTCGAGTAAATGTTAAATGTGCATTATCCTGGGTATTTGTGATTAATTAAAAGCAAAGTGAAATCTGTTTTATACCCATAATCCTGGTGCCAGACGAACTGCCCGCCAATAGATGGCAGCTTCAATATGGCCTTAGCGTGGAAATGGAAAATGTCACCGCCTAGCAGCTGAAACATATACACGGATAAATGTTACTGTCATTATCCGCTTACACCGATAATGACAATGGTCGCCATTACTAACATATACAAGGAATTTCCAAATATACTGCAATCTAAAAGTCAGTGTCATCAAACCATCACTGTCATTCTGGGAGCGAGTCACAATGCTATACTCACTGTTGAGTAGATTAAGTCATTTTCGAGATTTTCTTTTTATATCAAAATTTTACATTCGCCAAGGATTCATGTGTTGCTTGTGCTTGTCAGGAGAAAACATTCACTCACTTTCGTAAAGTGTTTTACAGCTGAAATTATTTTCGAAAAATGAACTGGACTGGAAAAGAATCAGATGTTTCTGCGACTGAACTCAAAGTCTGGACATCCTTACATAGATATGGAAAACATCAGCAAATCTGAGAGTATCATTTCACAAAATAACACGAGCTCAGATTATTTGCTTACAACCTGACAACAAACGCGCGATACGGACGGGCGTCACAATAGATAAAGTCATACATATACATACATGTTAGTATGCGCCGCATTTGAAAGCGAATACAAATTGTGTAATATTTTACCTTATGATATCGTGTGAATGATTTATTCCTTAAACTTTCATCATTACTTTTAACGTAATAATTTTACAGAATATCATTGCGATTCATACAAAGAATTCGAGTATATTATCCTTAACGTTAGTTACAATGTTGTTTAGAAGGGGGTGATTTAAACACGTTGTAAGGTGGGTTTTTTCCGCATTGCTATTTCCGTGAAACATTAATATCAAGACAAATGAAGGTATTTGATGAAACCCAAACAATATTCGAGTTAAAGTTACAGTGGGTATGTATTTTGGAGAATAATGCAAACTTTTCATGAAATAAAGATGCATTGCAAAGTATTTGTTACGTTTTCACATATATTGACGATCTTTTCACTGCGAGCAACCATTCCTGTTACGTCATTTCCGGGATTGTTCCAAAGACTCAATATGACATCTCGACCTCCCCCTGAGGGTATCTGTGGGTAGAGTCATATAGAAATAATATACTACAGAGTCAACAAATCAGGATAAAATATACCAAAGCGCCAAACCCCTAGGACGTTCTATTCCCAGCGTCAACACAAGAAGCGTATGCCGCAGCATCAACACACACAGGTACTTAGTGTAGAAAGGCGAAATCACATAAATCATCACATCGTCAACACACACAGGTACTTAGTGTAGAAAAGCGAAATCACATAAAACATCACATCGTCAATACACACAGGTACTAGAAAAGCGAAATACAATATACCTAGACGTCAACAAATAGAAACACAATAAACCGCAGCTTCACCACAAATATATATAATATGCCACAGCGTTAACAAACAATAATCAATTATAACACATCCTCAGCAAACAGAAGTTTGATATACCACAACGTCACCAAACAGCAGCATTGTATTACAAAGCGTCAACACACAGATAGTATATACCCCAGCGTCAACACACAGATAGTATATACCCCAGCGTCAACACACGGATAGTATATACCACAGCATCAACACACATATATTATATACAACAGCGTCAACACACAGATAGTATATACCCCAGCGTCAACACACAGATAGTATATACCACAGCATCAACACACAGATATTATATACCACAGCGTCAACACACAGATAGTATATACCACAGCGTCAACACACAAACATATAATATACCACAGCGTCAACACACAGATATTATATACCACAGCGTCAACACACAGATATTATATACCCCAGCGTCAACACACAAGGTTGAAATATAATTGTGATACATGTACTATCCAAATATCTTGAGGTTAATTTGACCTACGAGTTTACTTTCCTGAAATTGACCCGTAGTTCAGGTTGAAATCCATGTTAATTCAGGTCAATTTCGCATGAAACTATTTAGGTCAATTGTACGTCATTGTTAGGTAAAATCGATGAAAATTGATGCAATGTTGACTTAATAAGTACCTGAATTTGACAGAAGAATTATTTCAGGGCAAATTTCGGTCAATTTGTTTTACCTGAAATGACTATTTTTGCTCTTTTCGGGTACAATAGACCTGCAATTTTGACATGAAAACGACCTGAATTTAACCTGAAATTGACATCAACACATTTTGCAAGTATGGCATACAAAATATTCAGACGCAAAGACGATTATAGAAAGATGCCAATAATATATATAACCGGTCTAATGGGGAAAAAAGCATGCACCTTAATAATCAACAGACAAGCTGAGAACTATACGGTGTATCAGGAAATTTTTGGCTGCGTCAAACGTTCGCACTTCACCCATGCAATCACCCTTCACAATTAGTTACTATAGATATCATGTTTTTTTAATAATATTTGTTTAAATGATAATTTTGCTTTTATCACGGAGGGAGAAAAAGGCGAAACTAAACATAAGCGAAAATGTCCTGGTATACAGTATATCAGCTGAACGTAGTGCCCGTTAGTCGCCAAATGAATATCGATTCTTATATTGCTGTAGTACTTCCTTAGTATAATTTACAAAAACACTTTTTAACAAGACGTTCATTGTTACATGTATTCCGACATATGAAACTTTAAAGAAAATTATTGATTATTTTGCAAAATAAGGTGCAAGTATGAATTGACCCGGATATTTTAGAATCTGATCAAGATTCTGGATTGAATTTTCAATTAAACTAGATCATGCTTTCATGACACCATCTCAAAATATAAGATTTGAATTAATGTCCTCGTACAAATACTTACCTTGTATTGGTGTTTCAGTACTCCGTTTGGATTATCAAATGCATTCCTTATCCTGGAAATTTCATCCTTGTTAAAGATATTTCTGTAACAAAAAACAGCAGGTATCTTACTGTTTAACCTTCCATCACATGTGTGGTAATATCAATCGAATGCAAAACAGTGAAAGTTAAAGATAAGATTTTATAAATGTGTACATTACACATAAATGTGTACATTACACACATTGTACATGTCAATTTCAATCAAACAAATATGTGTATAAACTATATGAACGGTTTTCGTATGGTCACGTATTTTAACATAACGTAAAGAAGTTGTCTCTGCTTTTATGAATATTAACGTATAATAAAGTTGTTGTCTCGTTTTTCCTATGCACTAATGCGCATTGATGTAGTTTGACGTATTTGTCTAGGGATAATAAATACATTGTATATTGCAATTTCGTGAATTATTGTCGCGGGAAAGTTGTGTATATTTATAGGACGAGTTAAATAATTGCCTGGAGACACCTACCGTATTATGATATATCCAAATTCATCGTACTGTCTTTTGATGTCATCCAAGTCACCAATATTTCTGAAGTCGAAATCTGGAAAGAGACTATGCTGTCTATATTCAAGCTGCTAAAGTGATCAAGGAAAACCTTTCGTATTTGTAATCGTAGCTACATGTTACTATGCAAACTCTATATCAATGATAATGAAAATCGAATAACATCTACCCTGCTTCTCTGATTTTGATTTTTTTTATTAATTCTGCTCGGATTAAGACTAAAACAAAGAAACTCAATTTGCTGTAGCTACTGCAAAAACTCGGCTCTTGGTGCTAGGATACTCTCCTTCAAACGGATATAGGATAAATATTAAGTTCTCTAACGTGTCTGATAGGATTTCTGATAAACAACTAAAAGCATTCACAGTAGGTAAATTGTAAACATATCTTGTTATCGATCCCCCCACTTAAAAAGAATATTATGAGAAAAAGGTTGTAAGGATGGTTATAGTCTGTTTCTGGGTAGTATTGGCAGTATTTAGCTGTATTTCACCTTTGTTTTCACCTGTGGTTAACTGTTCTTAGTAAACCTTTGTATCTGGAAGCTTAGACTGTTTAATAAGATATCGCATAGATATTGATATCTTAATAACAAATTCAACCTTATAAAAACCGTGATCAGTTTTGAGTGAGTGTGATGCTGATATGACATTTGATAAAATATCTTATTTCATATTGTAGTTATTTTGTAAACACATTATTATAATATTAATATGAAATAGTTATTTTTAAGCAATATTACAAAACTTATCTTTATTGTTGTATGATTTAATGATATGCTTAAATTCAAGGTAAGAATTTTATACAAATTTGTCAAAATAAATCTCACGATAGCTCCACAGAATTATATGTCTCGACTGTCCTCTTTTTAATCTTCAATAGCAAATAGTTTAAGTGTCAAAACCAAATAATGGTAGGTTGTTTTCACAGTTTAGATATTTAAAAAAATAATTATCAGATCATATCCAGCATCTGAAAAAGACAATTATAGAGAATTGAGATGCACTACAAAAGAAGAATCTCTTAACCAAGTTTAGTTGATGTTTGCAGTTTTTGAGAGAGAGAAAAAACGTAGAAAAACCTAAATACGAACAACTTAACATAGATGAAAAAGATACTGAACCACGAAATCAATGTAACCAGCATCCGAAGCGATCCAAATTCCTTAGTCCTGCACTGATACTTTTGGAGAAAGAGTTAGATGTAAAAACGTCACAGTGATGGGGAAACTGGCATGATGATGCATGAAGTAAGATGTAAAACCCATGTTCTAAGTTTAATCTAGCAGGTCTAGGACTGTCTTTTGTTTTTAATAAAATCATTGATGAGGATGCTTTCATAGTTACTGGACCAGAAAATTCCGTACCCGATACATGGATTCCAGTGAAAAAAACTGAGATGAAACTATAATAATAAACTTTATTTATTTAGGATAAGATACATGTTTAGCCAATGGCTAATCGTCCACATGGTCCTCTTGTTAGTAAAATACATGTGTTAAATAAAATAACATATTTACGCAATTGATATATACATAAACATGGTTATCTTGCTAGTAAAATACATGTGCTAGTTAAAAGCTACATATATATTGATGCTATCGACATATATATAAGGTTATATCACAGTTATCTCAGTTAAGAGTATCACAGAATGCATAAAGTTTAGAATGCATAAAGTTTCTTGCAAAGGTATTTCATCAATTAAATGGCATGTGCCTAATGTATATACATGCTAATATAGCAAATACAGTTATACGCTAATATAACATAATCTAAAATATTGATATAATTCAGATATATATACTACATCGTAGTATTTAGAAAGTAACAAGTTTTGGTTACATGGAGAAGCAAATTAAAATTTAAGACATTGATATACAATATTTAGTAAGTTTGAAAGTGGTGAAATTGTCTATTTTCTTTAGGTCACTGGGTAAAATTAACATTCCAGTCGTTAATACTGTCAATAAGGAAGTGTCTGTAATATAACACAGTTCTATGTTTTGGCACTTTGAAATTATTTTATATAGCATATCTCGTATTCCTACAGTGACCATCTCGCACAAGAGACATATCATTTGAGAAATATTCAGGCACATCTTGATGATGATAATTATATAGCTTGCACAACCTTCTATATTTATAGTATTTGTCAATCGACATCCAACTAAGGAGTTCAAACATTTGCCTATAAGGTGTGTCAAATGGTACATCTAAAATTAGTCTAGCTGCTTGCTTCTGAGTCTTAAGCAGCTTGCCCATTAAATTTGCGGTGCACCTTGACTATACCGTACTGCAATACATTAAATGTGGGAAAACACTAGAATTAAAAAAAACAGCTATCCTTCCGTGGGTAGATATGGACTTATACGTCTCTATAACCCTACCCTTCATATTCAAGATAAAACAGAATTAAAATGACTTCCCCATGTCAATCCATTGTCAAAATATACACCAAGCAGTTTTCCACTGCATACTTGTTCAATGGGTTCATTGCATATAAATAATTCTAAAAAACAGTTTCGTTTTTGCTTTTGTTTTGAGGCAATGCACATACATGTTGTTTTCTTTACATTTATTATCATTTTATTTTCAATACACCATTCACTAACATTGTCTAAATCAGATTGCAATAGATGATGTTATCTAACGACCTATCCACAGCAGATAAGGTAGAGTCGTCTGCATACATATTAGTGTCAGATACAACATGTAGGGGCAAGTCATTTATAAAAGTTAAAAACATTAATTGATCCTTAATGCACACCATGTGTAATAGAAACTACCTGAGTCCTGTTGTCTAGATAAAATTTAAACCATGACGACAAGAAATTCATCATGGTCTACCAAATCAAATGCCGTTTTAAAATCTAAAAATATGACTCCTGTATTGGGACCATTATCTATGTTCTTTGCCCAGAAGTTGACAATATTCAAAAATGCAGTTTCACATGAGTGACTTTCACGGAAACCTGATTGCAATGAAACTATAAGATCGTTAACAGTTCAATTTTTGTAAAATGTACTGTGAACGTGTTTCTCAATAATTTTAAAAGGACTGGCAAAACCGATATTGGACTGTAGTTACCAACATCAGCAGTACTACCACTTTTATAAAGGGGGGTAACCCTGGCCATCTTCGCCTGTGTTGGAAATTTACCAGATCGGATACTTAGGTTTATAATGTAGGTAAGTGACTGTGCTATTTCAGCACAAACCATTTTTCAACAGCTTAGCACTTACATCATCAACACCAGTAGATTTATGTTCGTCCAAACCTTTCCAAAACTTAATTACAAAATCATGAGACACATTTGGAAATACAATGTACATAGTTGATAATATAATTCAGTTTATCACATATATATACTCTTTCAATTTCTAGAGAGAAGCCATAACATGTTCAAGTTGAGACGTCAGTTTACAAGCAATCTCAGTGAAATATTCCTTGAACTGGTTTGCCATTTTACTTTTCTTAAACACAGGTTCATCTCTTATCGCTAACATATTTGGAGATGGCAAGCTTTGCTTTGGACTGGGTTCATGCATAAGCTTCCATAGATTTTTGGGATTATCAAGATTGGTTTCAATAACCGTGTAGTAGTAGTCTGATTTTGCCCTTCGAATCATAGAGGCAACCCGATTACGATATATTTCTACATATTGTTCTACATCACCTTGACGTTTTATTTCATCCCTTCTCCTTATATGCTGGAGAATGGTCTCATTCATCCATTCTGGTTGTTTCGGTTTTTTAACCCGTCGTTCCATTTTAGGAGCATGCTTATCCATGACACTGAAGAATAGCTGTAGTCATGTGTCAAATGCATCATCCACGTGGTTAAATGTCTCTATAATAGACCATGGAACACTAGCGATGGCTTCAGCAAATGTCTGGGGATCAAAATTCTTAAAGGACCTGTATGTCATTTTGCTACGTTTACGAACAATGCAAACTATTATGACGCAAAGTTACGACCCGCTAGTGCGCGCGTCCAGCCGTGAACTGTTATGACGCGTCCTCAGGTATTTGTATACAGGTAGCTTTATCGGAATCCCGTGTCTAAGAATACATTATTTTAAACGGACGAATGTAAGGTCATGGCTTTTAATACATTAGTTTCACGATAAAGTCTCAACTAAATGCTTATTTTGTGTAAACATAAGATCTTTAATTATTAACAACAAGTTTGAAAGGATTTAATTTTCATTACTAATGCCATAGTGATGCCGTTACCCGCTTTCTTAAAAAACACACATCATGATTTTGTTCGTCCTGCACCTTAGAAAGGTAAAATTACATATATTTTTCGAAAAACATATCTTAAACGTGTATTGAGTTCCTTACTTTGTGCTGCAGTCTCCCGGCTTTTGAAACAAATGAGACTGTCCTCGACGATGAATTTTCCCGCATGTTTGGTAATATCTTTGCGATATTAACAGATTTTTTTTGCTTTGCCTTTTTTTTTATTTGTTTGTGTTTAAATAATGGATTAAAATACTAGTGCCAGTTGGAAGGTAAAACAATTCATAAATATCATATAAATGATGTCTTACATGTACCTACAAAGCGTGGCTGTACTGTACACGCGTACAGGGATTTTTTGACATGATTCCATAGAAGATAAACTAATATGTATGTTATCTAGATATAATTTACTCTTGCTTGTAACAAGCATTTTCATTGGCTTAAACAATTATGTTATCAGCCCATAACGTAAAAAAATGACGTCGCCGTTTGTAACGTCGCTTTTGATTGGCTGGTACAGCAGCGCAATAATTTCTAAAAGAAAAGAGTCCATTAATAAAAGTGAATTTCCACAGGGATTGTGTGTAGTAGATTACATTATAAGGATTAACTTATACCTTTTATTTAAGCATTGAACTGTTTTTGTATGGTATTTATGATCTATTTGAATGACACAGCTTTGCAAGCAAACAACATAATGCGCGCTAGCGCATTATGATTTGTTTACTTGCAAAGCTGTGTCATTCAAATATATGATAAATACCATACAAAAACAGTTCAATACTTATATTACCGTTTTCGCTGCCCCTTATGTTCTTTTTTAACTTATAATTTATATTTAAAATTAAAAATGCCAGCCTTATCGACAGTCCACACAATTTCGTTCAATAGTTTGAACAGCGTATTGTCGCGTGCTGATTGGCAAACAAAGTAGTACTTTGAAATTTTAACAAACACTTCAATTTTATTCCACAATTCAGTATCAATACAATTGCGTATGATATGTCTATAGGGTGATTTAAGTTTATCAATAGAACTCTGAGCTGAAAGTAATATTTGAATTGTTTCGTTTTTTCCCCGGAACAAATTTTGCGCATGGACAAATACAGTGAACACCGTAAATCCGACCTTGCCCTCCATGAGGGAGTTATTTTTGGAAGTTAATTCGAACTTTCTCTTTGCTCATTTTGTGAAGAATCCAGGCGTGAATTTTTTTTATTTGTTGATTGAATGGGAACCTGACAACAGTCGGTAGTTTCTATAACATACTCGTTATTTGACATGTCGTCAGAAACTGAGGAACCGTCCGTGGATGCGAGACGCGTGAAACTGCCTAGCGTTTGAAGTGAGTGATCTTGCGACGGAGCACAGGTTCGTTACAAATGTCTGAAATGTTTATGTGTGCTGTGACTCATATCAGTAGGTCTGTAACATATGTGACAGTAGGTCTATAGAATATGTGTATTTCAGACATTTGTAACGAACCCCTGTTGATCAGTGCCGTGTAACAGACGATATTTCTGATACATTGCATGAGCGTAAAAATTGTTTCCATTGCCGGCATTGGTGATTTCAACCGATGTGCATTTTGTACGATATTGCAGACCTTGGTCTTGTTTTCGTTGTAATAAAAGTGTTTTTTATTTCATTTTTTATTTTGCACATAAATTTACAATGACATTGTCAAATCTCACAATGCCCAGCGATATTTCAGCAGCCGTCATGTTTATTTATATTGGATGTTGTAGTTCCGGTCAGTGTTGTATAAATACGCTAAGAATTGCGTCTCGTGATGCATGGTAATTAAAGTCCCATCAACGACACAGCTTTCAAAGAGGCTATATAGTGACAATGCCATGCAAATGTAAATATAGATTTACCAAACAATTAATTAATTATTGATTTATCACATGCGCAAAAAAGTTACAGATCACACAGGTAAGCGAACTTACCTGCCATAATAAGGTGGTTGTTCAGTAGACACACAAGCAGATCTAGACTTTAACAAGTGGGTACACAGTTAGCTCGATATCAAGGTCATGGTCAATAAATCAGGCAGATACGTATATTTCGACTGATAAACTGTTATGTACACAAAAATAGGAAGAGGTTATTGAAAGTTCAGCACAATTTTTTACATTTTATTGGTGTCATGTAGTGAATAAACTACAGGAATTGGACGGATTTTGGTCATTCATTCCATTTCATCTATATTAAATGTATCTCACTAGGTAAAAAAGTATGCTATGTGTGTTAGATAACACTCTCAAATAGGAAACTCCTATATCACTCTATAAAGATACGTTCATATTTTTGAAGATTTACANAAGTATGCTATGTGTGTTAGATAACACTCTCAAATAGGAAACTCCTATATCACTCTATAAAGATACGTTCATATTTTTGAAGATTTACAATTGTAAGTTAGCCTTAATTGTTTTATTAACATATATATATATATGTGTGTGTGAGGAAATATGACAAAGAGACATAAAAATAGATATCAAAAGTTGATGTGGTGGAAGTAGTACCATCGCTTGCCTGCGTACGGTATGGATAGACCAGTTGTCTGTCTTGACGACAAAGACGCTATGGTTGTATTACTTGACGAGGTAGACGGAACACTAGTTTTCCTCTACAAAGAGGACGGGGCAGAAGTCAGACTTGACGGGAATGGCGAAACAGTAGTGTTCCTTCAGGAAAGAACAATAGTATTAATTGACGGAGAAGGCGGAATAGTGGTTTTCCTGGACGACGGGGACGGAGCAGTGGTCGTACTAGAGGACTAGGACGGAACGATGGTCGTACTAAACGGGGGAGACTAGTGGTCATAAGCATTCTATAACTGCAACTTAACCCCTACCCTCACCTAAGTTTACAAGTTCATTGGTTTCCTCAGATATATTACGATGTACAACATTAGGTATCCATGGACAAACCCGATGCGAAGGATGCGACATAAAGAGTTAGAAGCAATACAAAAATGCACACATAATTGTACTCTTTTTTTTTGGACACTTTTTCCTAATCGCGATCGATCAGAAATTAGTTCGAACGACAAACCGTGAAAAACTGCATGAGTGATAAAGTTCTTATAAGATATATACGTTTACTATTCATAGCTTGCAAATTCGTTTAATTGACCAAATCTTTCAATCAAAAGTTACAAGTTCACTGAGATCCCGTGTCACCGCCAGATGTGATAACACCTACACAATATTTACGATAAATGTTTATATTAGCCAAACAACACGTTTCTATTCCTATTTGTTTTAGGCCGGATAGGAGAACTGTAAGGTTCTATGAAAACCTGAACATATGATACACATTTGAATGGTTCAGTCCAGTCTGTAGTATGCAAAATATATTACATATCTGCAAAAATATTGTTTTCATATGTAGTACATGAAGCTTCATTGTGTAGGTATACATATGTCGGCTATCACGATCGAGTTGACGTTCAGTGTCGGTCAGCGTACAGCCACACGCTGGGTACACATTCTAGTAAACATACGTTGTAAGATTGATGTACATTTATAGGGTCAATAGTTAAAGGGCCTGGTACACCTAGCCGATTTGGGTCGCCGGAGCTATACTGCACACATTGAGCTACGACAGGCGACGGTAGAAAATTGTGAACATGCTCAAAAATGTTCGCCGTTGCGCTGCCGGAGAGAGCAACGGACTACAACGTCAGTACATATGTACTCCGGTATGGCTTCGTTAATGTCGGTAGCGCCCCGTAATGGATCGGCGGCTCTCCGGTGGGCTCATCGTAATGGTACAGATGTGATACCGTAATGCTACCGAATACCACCGAAGTATTACTGATGCATCTGTATAACATCGGCGGCGCGTCGGTAATAAGTATTAAAAAGGGTACAGAAAGTGGTATTCGGTAGCACATCGGCTCTTACATCGGTGAGAAAACGGTAAGACAACAGTATCACAACGGCGACGCTGGTACTACATCGATATTGCTACGGTTAATGTTAACGTTGTTAATTCTTTGCTCCGGTTTAGGCCGGTGAGGTACATGGGTAGTGTGTGACAGACCCTGTTGTCACCAATAAAACCGTTTATAAACTTACATCAGAGCTTTTTCTTATTCGTCCAAATCTTCTTTATATAGAAGATACAATAGCCAACAACAAGTTCACTAGAAACACACGCAAAACGTCGCCATCCGGTACAAAACAGCATTAACAGATCATGCTAACACCCACAACTAACATCGTCGAATTAAAGAATCAAATAAGCAAACAAAATCAGGAAAACTCAAAACAGGAACAGTGACGAAAGAGGAAAGTCATCTGTATGGCCCATTGCTGGTTTACAGAGGGAGGAGGCTAGATCTACTCTCGGCCAGTTATCCATTCGGTGTGTATACACTCTCTATCAATAGGCGAAACGTCCCGTGTTGAGTACCATATGAAATTTAAGATTCCGTTGCATAGTTGCACATGTAAACAATACAAATCGCTCACTCAGTCATAGTTTGACAAAGGAACCAGTCCGTCTTGAAACGTTACGACACATTCAATACGTATTGTTTGTGTATTTCCAAACTGATTTTTAACGTTTAACATTTATCAATAACTCAACTGACTTGGTACGTTACACACATACACTTACACATTCGAATTATATGTGATTATTTATAATATGCACCATAATTATATACACAATGCAGCAACTTAATTACCTTTTCTAACAGTAATATACCGACCTAGATGACACTCTTATACGTATGGATCTCTTACTAGACGAGGAAGACGGAACAGCTGTCATACTATACGGAGGAGACGACCGGTCATAAACACTCTATAACTGCTATTTATTCAATACGTAAACCATCCAGGCAATGATTTACTAAAGCGAAATAATGAGTTAGAACAAATATAGATGATCACACTTTAGTTCAACCTTTTTAGGAGAATATCATTTTCTAATCACGAGCACGTAAATATCTTCAAGAGGCCACTGAAGTTGGACTGATATGTTATACACGTACGACTGATGAGCAACTTGTGCGAACGACACACCCTGAAAATACTGCATGAGTGATACAATTCTTATAGGAAAGATACTTCTACTATTTATGGCTCGCAAATTACTGTAAGTGTCAAGTATTTTAACCAACACTTACGAGATCTCCGAGATCTCATTTCACCGCCAGATGTAGACAAATAGACAAATTTGCTGCGAAGGAATACCCCATACTGAAAATAAAACTGTTTTTTTTTTTACACATATACCATGCCGTCTTGCTCACAATCAATAAAAAGTATGAGTGGGGACCGATACTGATATTAGTAATTAGTAGTTTATAATTCTATTGGTATAACACCTTCTCAATATTTGTGATAAAAGTTATTATCTCGGCAATAAATCCTAATTCCGATTTTGTAATCTGGACAGGAGTACTTTAACATTACATGGAGATACGTTATAGATGTCCTTCATATATATAACGCCGGGTACACATTCTAGACTACATATTGGGCGTGTAACACCATCCCAAGGTCAATATATTACGTAACATAAAAAACGGTCTAAAGAAGGATGGCCATGCGATATAAAGAGTTTAAAGGTCAAATGAATCGAAGCATGTTGATAGTAAAACGGACCCTCTCCTCAGAAGTCTGTTCACATTCCTAAATAGACATTTTTCTACTTTTAACACAGCCACTGAAAATACATGACTTACAAAACAATTTAAACGATGGTAAGAAAAATTAACTAACTTGATGTGGTACACGTTCACCTACACTTTATCCCCGTTTACCTACAGCTATCTATGTTTTACATATAAACACATTGCAAAAACTGAATTATATTTTACAACCAACAAACAATCTGATTAACAGGAACAAATGTTTACAAATAAATAAATATATACACTTGTAAATATATTAATTAATTAATAAAACAGCATTGTAGAATGTATTTGAACAAATAAACTAGCTACAAAAATACCTGTATACACACACTTCCCAAACGGATATGTCTTAATTATGTTTTCGTGCATCTTTAACAAATGCGTTGATAATATCTCAATATAAAATAATCCCTGCCATCATAAGAATGACCAACAAACCTGTAGGGAAAAAAACGTTATTCATATACACATTGTGATGCATGGACTTATCCAATGTAGATAACACAATTATCCGTATCGCTCTGTATTGGTTGTTTTGTTTAATTAACATATATGCTCATGCATATGTATGAGGAATTATGATAACGAAACATATATATATATATACATGTATATCAAAACCTGTCGCGCTGGTAGCAGTATCATCGCTTGTCTGTCGATATGAATCATGGCAAAAACAATTGCCTTAGTTAACGGGGAAGACAGAACAGTAGTATTTTTTGACGGAGAAGACAGAACAGTAGTCTCCGTTGACGGAGAAGACAGAACAGTAGTCTTCGTTGACGGAGAAGACGGAACAGTAGTCTTCGTTGACGGAGAAGACGGAACAGTAGTCGTACTTAACGGGGTAGGCAGAAAAATAGTCTTTCTGAACGACCAGGACGGAACAGTAGTATTATTTGACGGTGAAGACAGAACAGTATTCTTCCTGGACAGGGAAGGTGAAACAGCAGTCTTCCTGGACGGGGAAGGCGCGTTGTTATAATTATCTACATCGACAATATATTATATAGGTAAATAATCCATACAATGATGTGTCCTATACTGATATATAGAGTTAAAACCAATTTTGATTATCGCACATTATTTTATGGTTTGCTGTGAAAACATTTTGTTGATCAAGCGCACGCAGATAAAATTGAGTGGCCACTGAAAGTGTGCCGAGATTTTATTGACGTACGATCGATGAAAAAAATGTCCAAACAACAACCAAGAAAACATTATGTAACGAATGTGTATTAACTATATACGTCTACTATTCACGGCTCACAATCACGGTACAGTGACACTGTACAAGCCAATGTCTTCGCCAAATGTAGACAAATAGACATTTTGGATGGTGAGGAATACCACTTCAAC